ACGCGCAGCGCGACGGAGAGGTTCCGCGCGGCGATGGCGGCGACGACGGCGCGCGGGTCGGGGAAGCGACGCGCGTCAAACGCGAGGTCGCCGGGTCGCGCCTCCCAGCCGGCGACGACGACGACCCCGCCGCCGCCGCCGCGCCGCGAGACGCCCTCGGCGAGACGAGTCGCCGCCTCGCCGTCCGCCTCGCCGTCGAGGCCCGAGTCCGTCGTCCAGACGACGCGGGAGACGGCGTCGCGTGGGACGCACGCGGGCCGCGGCGCGCGCGAGAGGTAGTGCTCGTGCGCGAGCCTCGCGTCGCCCGCCACGCACACGGAGTAAGTCAGCGTCGTCGCCTCCCCCGCCACGCCGCACGCGCCAGGAGAGGGCGCCGCGAGGCAGAGATCGCCGTCGCCGCCGTCGTTAACGCTGACGACGAGCGGGGCGTCGTCGCCGGCGCGCACGTACGCGCCGCGCGACGACAGCCAGTAGCGTTCGAGCACGCCGCCGTACTCGCCGCGGCGCGCATCGCCGCCGACGTACGGCCGGGGCGGGCGCGACCACCGCTCGAGCGGCCACGGCTGCCCCGCCACGAGGCCGCCGCCGTACCAGTGCGCCGGCGCGAGCGAGACGCAGTCCCGCAGCGACGCGCCCAGCGCGCTCCGCAATCCATGCAACGTCGTAGCAGTCGACGCCGCCGTCCGTTCGGTAACGCACGCTCAGTCTCGCCTGGCCGCGCCACTCCATGCACAGCCGCGTCCGAGGGTCCTCCCCCGCGCCGAGGCAGTTGAACGGGAGCAGGTTGCGCGGGATGGAATCGCCGAGTCGTGCCGTGAGCACGTCCGTCGCGTCGCCCCTGTCGACGTGCAGCCGTCGACTGTCGATGTAGAAGCGGAGGGCGTTCCCGATGTCCACTTCCACCATGTCTTGCTTGTAGAAGTGGATGACAATGCAGACGGTGACCACCATGAGTACGAATAGGAGCGTCAGCCACACCTTGATCTTGAATCGTCGCAGCACGCCGCACCTGCTGCTAAGTCCCTGCAGCTGCAACGACGTAGTGCAACGCGTAATTTCACAAATTCAACTTCAGCAGAGGGGAGGGGGTGTACTATCAGGAGCGTATAATATAGAGATCTGTTTTGAGTCATGGACCCCTTTGAGAATCCGGTGAAAGCTACAGACCCCGCCCCAGAAAAGTGCACATAAGCACATAAACACAATAATTTGTATGCGCCTGGTTCAAGGACCCCCTGAAGCCCATTCACGGACCCCAAAGGAGTCCATGGACCAAAGGAACTCATGCTCTATATTATACACTCCTGAAACTATCATCTAATATATATTTGAGTTCGTATGTATGTATCTATGTATCTTCCCT